GAAATTCCGTGAATATGTTGCACATTCTTTAAAACACTTATGAGCGAGCGCCACACTTTGGACAAGAACCACTCTCAATTCGTGAAACTCTCGCAGCTTGTTCAAACAACTGTGCGCAACGCTAACGCGATAACCAGAATTTCAAAAGGACCCGCCCCCAATCCACGAAACCCTTGCAATATGCAACAACGAATGTGTGCTGCGCTACGGCGAGACCCACATGTTGAAATCACCCGCCCTCAATCCGCGAAACCCTTGCAACGTTTTGGAATGATTGCGCGCGGTGCCAAGGCCAGAGTCACCCATTGAAAACCACCCGCGCTCAATCTGCAAGATCCGCGCGAATTCTTAACAACAGAATGTGCGCGGCGCTGAAGCGAACACCAGATTTTGAAAAAACCACTGGCCCTCAATCCGCAAAACTCGTGCATACATTATTTCAGTAAAAAATGTGCGCGGCGCGAAAACGAGAGCCACATTTGGGAAATAACCATCCCTAAATGACGCACTAAGGCAACAACCACATTTTGAAAATCACCCGCCCTCAATCCGTGAAACTCTTGCACACTGTTGAAACAAATGTGGGCTGCGCTAATGCGAGAGCCACACTTTGAAAACATCCCGTCCTCCATCTGCGAAGCTGTTGCCATATTTGAGCATCAGGCTCATGAGTGGCAAGGGAAACTGAAGCGAAACGCCCGGCCAACCTTTTCGGCCCGTCTCAGGGTGCGACTGGGAGGATTTTTGTCTACAGGGGGAAGGAACGAACGAGGAGGAGCAGGAGGAGGAAGAAGAGGAGGAGGAGTACGCCTCTTTGGTGAGGGGGAGCGCGCGTCGTGCCACCGCCCACCCCTCCCGAGCAGTCTGCCGCTCGTTTCGCGCAGCCCGCCCGCGCGAAAGCCTGCGGGCACGCCAGGGCGCGCACGGCGGCCAGCACGGGCTAACTGCGGGAGCGGAGCGGGCCCGTGCCGAGCCTGGCTCCATCGCCGACGCAGTCACCGGCGGCCTCTGGGGCCCCCCTGGGCGGTCCGCGGGGGCCCCGCGCATCAACCTCCTGGGGGGTGCGCGCGATCAGAAGCCGCAGAGAGTCAGCCGTCCTGTTTCTGGCGGGCGCCGGTCGCGATCGCGTGCAGCTCCTTGGGGTCGAGCAGGCCGTCGCCCTTGAGGCGCACGGACCAGAATGGCTCCCCGATCGCCTCGAACGTGGGGCCGTCGCCACCCTTGGAGCGCAGCAGGTCACTTTTTTCCGCAGAGAGAGGCCCCCGAGACAGCAGCGCGTCCCCGCGCACGCCCGCGAAGGCTCTGGGCACCAAATTAGGAGGAGGAGGAGGAGAAGGAGGAGGAGGAGGAGGACGAGGAGAGGGAGGAGCAGGAGGAGAAGGAGGAGACCAGACCAGACCAGACACGCGGCAGCAAGAAGGTAGAAAGCAACACGAGGACACAACCACGGCGCCACAAAAACCAGACGGGGGGACACTCTAAACAAAACAACCCTTTTGTATATAGACTTTCCCCCTTCCCCTGTCTAGATGGCGCTGGGGGCCCCCAAAACCGATGATGGGGAATAGTGTCCCAAACAACGGTTTTGTACATTATTTAGAGGAAAAAGAACTATGCACATACACCGATTCTGGCCAGGCCCATCCTGAGCCCAGGAACGGTGCATACGCCCTCCTACCTTGGCCAGGAAGGCATATGCACCGATCCTGGGTCAAGGATGGGCCTTGCCAGGATCGGTGCATGTGCATAGTTCCCTTTGCCCGACTATTTCCCCCGCCTGGTTTTGGAGCCGCAGCGCAGCAGCCGCCCACGGCAGCCCGGCAGAGCGCTGCGCCGCGCACGCCCTGGCGCCGACGCGGGCGGGGCCCCGCGCCCCGGCCGCGCGTGCAGCAGGCGCCGCGCGGCCGCGACGGGCGGCCGCGCGGCGTTGCAGGGGCAGCGCGGCTGCGGGCAGCGGCGGCGCCCGCGGCGCGCGCTGCGGCGGGGCACCGCGGCGAGCCGCCGCCCGCGGGCGCCTCGCCGGCGGCGCCGCAGCAGCAGCAGCGGCAGCAGCCCGTGCCTTCGGCTTCGCCTTGGCCTCGAGCTGCTTCGCGTCGGGGGCGTCGTCGCCGATGCCGGCGCCTGCCAGATTGGCGAACGCCCTGCACGGCGCGCCAGTGCCGCACTGGTGGCACGGGGGCTTGCAGACCCAGTTGGTCGCGAAGCCGGACTTGCTGCAGCCCCCGTATGGCTTCTTGGCGGCGCCGGACGGCGCCATCCCCTCGATGGCAAGCGCCCGTGCGCCGTGGTCCTCGTCGAGCAGGCGCCGCGCGGCCTCCAGGCGGGAGGCGAGCCGGGGGCTCGCTCACCTGTACCAGGCGTGCAGCAGGAGCCAGGCCTGCGCGCGGCGCAAGCGCAACCAGTGGTGTCACGCGACCTTGGCGGCAGCGGGCGTCATCGCAGTGGGCGCTGGTCTCAGCGCAGGCGGCGTCTGGGTTGAGGTCGGGTCCCGCAGCGGCCAGGCTGTCGCCGTCGCACTTCATCTACAGCTGGCCCCTCTGGGCGGTGAACTTCGCGATGGCGCAGTAGGGCGAAACCAAGACGAGGCTAGAATCGGGTGAGGATAAACCGGGAATCTCTGATATCCGGCGGCTCTGGAAGATGCGTCGGGCGCCGCGGCCTTCTCAAGTAAATCCGGAACGCTCTGAGAGCGTTCCGGAACGCTCTGGAACGGGTTTATCCTCGTCCCAGCTCTGTCCGACACAGTCCGCCGACTGGCGAGCGCATGCTCGGCGAAGACACTGCGACGCCGCAAACGGCTGGAGCTGGCGCCCACCGTCCTCCGGTGCGCATTCCCGCCACAAAGAGATCGTTCTCGTTCTCCTGGCAAGGAGGAAGAAGGGGAGGCGGAGGGGGAGAGGGAGGGGAGGAGGAGGAGGAGGAGGAGGAGGAGGAGGAGGAGGAGCAGGAGGAGGAGGACGAGGAGGAGGAGGAGGAGGAGGAGGAGGAGGAGGAAGAGGCGGAGGAGGAGGAGGAACATGCACCCTCCGCCTTCAGCTCTACCTGGCCCGAAGCACTTGCTCATCCCCCCCTGTGAGCACCAGCATAGAGCAGGCCTCCTCCTCCTCCTCCGCCTCCTCCTCCTCCTCTCCTCCTCCTCCTCCTCCTTCTCCCCAGCCGCCTGAGCTGCGACACCAGCAGGATGTTCGTTTCCAGCCGCATCTCCCTGGATCTTCCTCGGCGAACGGCAGAGAAAGGGACGGAATGCAAACATGTTGTCCTCCTTCGCATGATCGCAAGGACAATACCTACTGCCATGATTACCACAAGGCGTTGCAGGTGTGGGCAAATACGGAAAAGGGCCGGCCACTATGCAGTGGGAGCCAAGTGGAAAAGGCGAGCCCGCAGTGGGGCAGGAAAGCAAAAACTGAGAAAAACATTCCAGCTGCCAGAACATAAAGCCAGGCGGCCAAAAGCAGGCAGTCGCCCTGAGCCTCATTTAGAACCTCCTTCGCATCCTGCCCTCCTTCCCCTCCATGTTCCCAACGTCATTGCCCACCCAACCCCCCAATTCACCCGTTTTCCACCTGCTCGTCCCATTTCATGCCGTCCTCCTCCTCCTCCTCCACCTTCTCCTCCTCCTCCTCCACCTCCTGCTCCTCCTCCTCCTCCCTCCTCCTCCTCCCCTCTCCCATCCTCCTGGCCTTTTGATCATCTTGAGGAGGTCTCCGCAAGGCCCCCCAAAAGTCCCTACTGAGGTCCTACCGGCCCGCCCGTGCGCACTCTCCTCGAGGCCACGTGACCGCTCGGTGTGCGCATGGCCAGCCGTCCGAGCTCCTCCGCGCCGTATGGGGCGGGGCGCGGAACACGCGCGCGCGCAGAGGACGCGACAGCAGGCCAGGCCCCTCGAACGATGCGCGCGCGGACGACCGTTTTCTTACAGTCGAGGCCAGTCCGCAAGAAACCCTCCGCAAGAAGCCCCACCCTCAGACCCCGGGGCGCTCATGGATTCTTCTGGTGTGGGAACGACACGCTCTCCATGGCAAAACCCTCGAATACTGAGAAACCCACGGCAAACTGGAGGCAAGCAGGGTGTTTCTTGGCATGGGCCCCCACTGTATAGGATCTTGAGCCAGATCATCGGTACACCGCATCCTTGCGTAAAATGAAAAAGAAAACACTCCATAAACATAAACTTGTGGCGCTCCACGCGGATTTCTTGTACCCGCGCTGGGCACCCCTCCCATGCGCGCGGAGCGCGCCAGGGGCGGCGCCCGAGGCGCCGCCCGTGGGGGCCCAGAGCGGATCCAAGAAATCCGTGCGAATGCCAAACAAATATGTTTATAGCGTTTTTCTTCTTCGAGTAACGGAGGCAACGACGGCCACGCCGCCCCCAACACTTGCGCCCGACAACGCCCTGAGCAAGCACAGGTCCGCCTGCGCAAGCACGCATCTCCGCGAACGCGACAGATCTGGATGCGAGATGGAATACACGGCGTACCTCCGCATGCGCTTCAGCTAGGCCTCGGGACGCTGCTCCCTTGCGACCGTCACCTCCGTGGTTACATGGCCCCCTCCGGGTGACGCACGCTGCCGGCAATATCCCATGGAGCTCGAAATTTCCAACTGGCTTCAAACCAGGAAGGCCGGAGAGTCAGTCGCCACGACACGTGGCAAACAACGCAAACGTCCCGCCACCGCCACAACTATTGATGCAACTGGCACGCTCCAACCGCTACGACCAGAAGCGCCGAACAATCGTCATGACGTGTGGCAATCAACGAAAACTGTCCGCCAACGCCACAAGTCCGTCAACGCAAACTGTCCGCCAACGCCGCCGGCACTAACGAAACTGCCGCAGCTCCCTCCCGGACGTTGTCATGTACAAGGCCACCTAACAAGAAACGGCCTTTCTCCAGCGCGCTGGCGGTGCCGCCTAGCATATGATAATTCCCCCTGGTGTGCTTTAGTGCCATCTGGATGCCGTGATCTTGCGGCGTGATCTTGTCAGGGCCACCTAGCAAAATGCAACTCCCGTATGGTGCAAGCCTGCCCCTTCTGGATGGACAGATCGTCATTATTCGATACCTCTGTACACTAAACGACCCCATTCCAATGTGTTTGCGCGGGTGCCGCTTACCACCCCCGATCGGGTTGCCAATGACCAACACAACATGGGTGGCGAGACCGTGCCCCTTCCGCTCCGCGGTCGTGCAAGCGTCGAACTTGAAATGGGAATTCGAAAGGAAAGCTATCGTCTCAAGAACGAAACCTATCAAACTGAAGACTGCCACGTGCGCTGAATGCGTATGGAAACTGCTCAACCGACGACTAGGCACAATTCAACTACACCGAATGCGAAACATGATCTGTTGTGATGCCAGGCCTCGCCGTCAACCGAAAAAAACAGTGAACATCTCAAACACTCACTCGGATGACATGTGCAAGTAACCGCCGAGCAGTAGAGAGATGACTATGTGAGTGCACTTTTGGATAAACACCCAGCAGGGCCTAGCCTAGCTAGGCGTCGGGTTGGTTGTGATTAAGAACGTCGCCGCCCCCTCGGTACCTGCTGTCGAGAATCGCCTTGTCCACGTGGCAGCACCACTCAAAGACCTCTGTCCCTGCCTTCGTGCGCCTTGGCGCCCTTGGGCCAGCCCGGCCGCCTCTGAACATGGTCGATGCTTCCGTATCGGGGCCTACGAACAACACCAGGGATCGAGGGACAACCCGCAAATACCAGCCGATCACCCAACCTTGAAGTGCGCATGAGTAGTAAAGCATTATTCCGTTGTGTATCACAAGCTTTGGATTGAACGAAACAACCTCCTTTCGACCCACAAACTTTTCATGATCCTGCGATGCCGCTATCACGCGGCTCCCACCACTACGCGAATTATATCCAGAAAGCCGATCCCGCAATCTCCATCATCCTCTTGAGCCCGCGAGTCCTCACAGCACCCAGCAATCATCTCAGCCACAACAGTCTGCCACCAACGAGGCATGATGCCATGCCGCCCAAACCCGTCACTCCTGCAACATGCGCACTTCCGCTGGCCGTGCCCCAGCCAGGGGATTCAGAAGTTCCAGCGTAGCTCATGACAGGCCAAGCAACGAAATCCAACAGCAATCCTCGTGTCCCGCCAGCGGCCGCCATGACATAACAAGCCGACCGCGCCCCCTCGCGCGGGCACGCGCGCTGGCGGGCCAAAGCCACACGCAGGCGGCCCACGAGAGCTCGCCAGAAGGGGACCGCACGGGCGCAGGCGAGGGCGAGCACCGACTCCCTCCCGGCCGCCCCCAGGAGGAGGAGGAGGAGGAGGAGGAGGAGGAGCCCTCCCCCCCTCCCACCCCCAGCTGGCCTGCTGGCTGCTGCTCCTCCCCTGCCCGCCCCCTGCCGCTCGCCCCTCGTCCGCCCCCTGCCCGCTCCGGCTCCTGCCCGTGCCGCGCCGCCTGCTCCCAGTGGCGCGTCCTCCTCCTCCTCCTCCTCGTTTTCCTCCTCGTTTTCCTCCTCCTCCTCCTCCTCCTCCTTCTCCTCCTCCCTCTCCTCCTCCCTCTCCTCCTCCCTCTCCTCCTCCTCCTCCTCCTCCTCCTCCTCTCCTCCTCCTCCTCCTCCTCCTCCTCGTCCTCCTCGTCCTCCTCCTCCTCCTCCTCCTCCTCCTCCTCCTCCTCCACCTCCCGCGACGCCCTTTCCGCCCTGCAGCGTCGCAGCAAACGTCGCCGGCGGCGCCTCCAGAGGTGTCGGACAATGTCCCCGAACCTCCACCAGAGAACCGCCACAGAGGAGCCAGCACGCACGCATCGGAATGGACGCACGGCTTCGCGTAAACCTCCCAGCTTGCACCGTGCACAGAAGAGGCCAGACCACAAGAAACCATCCACAAGAGACCCGACCCTGAGACCCCGAGACGTCCATTGACTTTTCTTGGTGTGGGAGCGTCGCGCTCTCCACCGCAAAGCCATTCAGAGCCATGAAACCCAGGGCACCCTGGAGGCAAGCAGGCTGCTTTTCTTGGCATGGGTGCTTCTTGGCACAATCCACACACCACTGCGCCCGAGCCTCCCGGCTGACACCGCATAGCTTGCACTGCACAGCAGCCACGACGTGCCTCACACCACAGAGCCTTTCAGCATGCAACACCACACACACACACAAATCTTGCGCGTGGCCTCCACCTGACGGGCGCCCGTGGCATGTGCGCGGGAGGACCTTCCCGGGGCGTGCGCACGGCGCGGGAGCGCCACAAATGCGGGCTGCCAAGTGTGGCCTTTCCCTCCCGCGGCTGTGCAAACCTGTGATGTCCGACCGCAGTCGGTGAATGCCATATGATACGACCCCGGCGAGGCCCCCTCTGTGACTCCCCCCCGCCCCCCCCTCGTCGGGGTCAGCAAGCGTGGAACACTGGCTTTCATCTCGCAACTGCAAGTGCAATGGCTATGTTAAAGTTAGATCCAGGTGTGTCACCGCGCGCGTGCCAAGGTTGCTTACAAGATGTGAGCCTGAATTCCCGAACACACAACTGTACATACCTTTACATATACGTATGAATACCTATCTATACGTATGAATGATCGGGCATTATGTGCGCACGCACTTGTGCACACCGCAAGAACAACTAATTTGCGTTGACGTGTGGTCCACACACCCGCGCATGTCGGGCGCGTCCAAAAACTCTCGCGTACGCGCCAATCTAGCCGATGGTACCATGCGGACAACACGCGAGCGTCCCCGCCCGCTAACTTCGAAATCGCTTCCAAACCATGTTTCTCAGAGGTTCAAAGGGTAGGAGAGTATCATCACATGATGCAAAACATGAGTTCACACCAAACCTGTCACGTTCTCTGTGCGCGCGCTCTTCCTCGCCATACTCAGTAGCACCATCGTTACACCAACGCAAACGTTATGACTGTCACCGTCATCGCCATTATTGTTGTCATCACCATCGTTGACATGACCACCACCTTCATCACCATTATCGTCATCGGCATCGTCGTTGGCATCGTCGTTGTCATCGCCCTCGTCATCACTGCCGCCACCCTCGCCATCATCACCGTCGACGTCGCCGATGTCGCCGCACCGACATCGCTAGCCCGCCCGGGCAATGAATCTGAATGGAAACAGCCTCGCGCTTACACTCCAAATACAATGTGCCAACGAGCTGCGTGTGGGTGGGGGGGGAGGATTGGCTCGAACATCGGATGTGACGACTTCAAGCGAGCCTACCGTATGTGCACCACGTAGATTTGCGGCGCAGAAAGTGCACATCGAGAATTCAATATCCCACGCGGGGGGGTTCCGCGCTTGCCGACACAAGCCACTACGTATGCATGGTGCGTTGTGACGAACTGATTTGCTTCGTGATGCGCGGTAAATGTGGCGTGTTGCAACGTATTAGTTGTATCTCCCCAGCCCCCTGGGTCGTAGGCGGTCTAACGAGAGTCTTCTTTCTTCTCCCAACGCCCCTCTTCCCTTCGAAGAATGATGCCTTCCCCCGCCCCCCGTCAGGATGTGTGGGTCCCTCGTTGGCCCAAGGTGGCTCCAAAATGGCCTCAAAGATGGCTCAGGACAACCGAAGATAGGTCAAGAGAGCTTCCGGCATGCCTCCAAGAAGCCCCGAGGGGGCCAACAAGCAGCTCCAAATGCTGTTGTAGCCCCCCCTCAATACCCCCTCCCCCGCACACACACACACACAACAGCCACAAACCGTATTAACATGAAACATGTATCGCCCCTTCTCGCCAGTTCCGTTCGAATGACCTTTGGAGTCGCAAGGTGGCCCCAAGAGAGCCCGAAGAGGGGCCCAAAAGGTCGGTCCCCCACGACGGCCGTAAGAGCGCCCCCAGAAGCGAGCTTGATGGTCCCAGGAGGGGGGATGGACTTGAGCTGATCGGGACGCCCTTCAAGAAGATAGCCAGATGGCCCGAGGGGGCCTCCAGGGCTGCCCAGAGGCTGCCAAGAACGCCCCAGGGCGCAAGGCCCACCGAAAGAGCCCAGGAGGACCCCACGACCCTCCAAAAACAGAACCTCAAGAGAGAGCCCCGAACGGGGCCCCAAGACCTCAAGAGGACCCGAAGGGGGCCTTTTCGTCCTCGTCCTCGTCCACCTCCTCGTCCTCCTCGTCCTCTTCATCCTCCTCGTCCTCCTTCTGGTCCTCTTCCTCATCCTCGTCCTCCCCATCGTCCTCCTCCTCCTCCTCCTTGTGCTCCTCGTCGTCCTCGTCATCAGCCTGCCCAGCCTGCTCGCAAGCGTTCGTTTAGCGGATGTTTTCTGTAAGGGCATGATCTCTGAATAGGCCAGTGGGGATATGCGAAGCGTCAACCAATGCACTGCATTGCCATGCACCGAACTGGTGTCCATTGCATTACCTTGCAATGCAACTGGATCCCTGTGTATTGCAACATATTGCAGTCCTTATCTCGCCCTCATTCTTCCATCGTGTGTGCCAAATTTGCGGGACTGGGGGCGTGGGGAATACAGCCTAGAGATAAGAGTCTTTCTGCGAAGCCTAAGTCAGGGGAGCCCGCTTACTGAACATCAAACCAAACGAGAGTTGTGAGCGCATGAGCCCGAAATAAATGAGTTCCACGCGTACGGTTCCACACATAACATGTCACGCACGCACACACACACACACTCGGTTTGCATCGCGGCAATGCGCGCAATGATGCGGCGAAGGCAGTCGGAGACTCGCCCGGAAAGCAGCCGAGGCCACAACACCCCCCCCTCCACGCACACACACACACCACACTAAGAGGGAGGAGAGGGGGCCAGTCGCCGCGCCTAATCAGCTCGGTGCCTCAGGCGCGCCCGCGCAAGCGGCCAGGCGGACCACACACACACACACACACACACACACACACACACACACACGCACACGCACACACACACACACACCACGCGTGGACCCAACGCGAGTGGAACACCACATGCATGTGGAACCCACGTGGGGAACCAACACAAACACCATGCGCGTGGGATTCGATTCGCGTGGCTTCGCAGTGTGGCTGCGGGCTGGGTTGTGCAGGACGCCGCTCCGTGGGCTGCGCAATTGCCAGGTGGGCTGCTCCGTTTCCTCGGGGGCCCGCGGTAGGTTTCACGATTCATGTGTTGTGGGTTTCACAGCCGCGGCCGTGATTGCGCGACGGCTACGGTGGCGACTCGACCGCAGCACGACACCAGCACGCTGAGCCTGTACTGCACGACTCAAGAAAGAACACGTCGAGTGCTAACGTCTGGGAGCACAACTGAACTTTGCGCACCGCGCTCAACGTTTGCAATCGTACCGAAACGCGGCCGAACCCGCTCGCCCCAATACGCGGGCACATTGCAATCGGCAGAAGGAGGACGCAAATGCGGTGGAACAGCAACAAGAATCTATCGGGTACGAGGAACACGGAATTGATGGAGGAACAAGAAGGGCGACATAACAAAACCGACATCTCAACATGGTTATCTTTGGGACGTTCCTGGTCAAACCGTGGCATGCCTCTGTGCCGACTTGAGGTGGCGCAGAACATTGCCGCGCTTCCAACGAATTCATTCACTAGCCGGAGAACCTAACCTGCTGCTCGGCGGCGAGCGAGGGGGGGAAGTGAGAAGAAGGCTTCCTCTGAAGGCTGCGGGACTTCTGAGAACCCCCGCGCCTTCTGAGAAGCGTTATGTGTCTTCGGGGAAGGCGTGGACAACTTCTCAGAAGGTTGTGAAACTCCCGAGCCTTCTGAGAAGGCCCGCCCCTTCTCACTTCCCCTCCAGGCTCGCCACCGATCTGCAACCCATGGGGCCATGGCTCGGCGATGAACGAACATACAAACGGATGCCGCGAGACTCGCAACACCCCGGACGCGTGTACTTTGCCTGCTGCACTGCTGGAAGGACACTCCAGTGCGGGCTAGCGCAGGCGCTGGCCCCCGTCCAGCCACTGCTCCTCCTTAACCCTCCCCCCCTGCATCACTTGCCGTCCGTTCCCCCCCTCCCCCTCCTCCCCGTACCTCGCTCCCTCATCCTTGACTTCCCCCGTCTAATGCTCACGTCCACCTCCTCCTCTTCCTCCTCCTCCTCTTTCTCCTCATCTTTCTCCTCGTCATCCTCCTCCTGCTCCTTCTCATGATCCTTAACCCGACCCTCCTCCTCCTCACTGTGCTCCCTCCCTCATGCTCCCGCCCCTCTTCTCCCCTCCTCCTCCCTCTCCCCAATCTCCACACCTCCCCCTCAAAAATCCACCGCCTGTATCCTCCTGCTCCTCCTCTTCCTCCTCCTCCTCCTCCTCCTCCTCCTCCTCCTCCTCCTCTTTCTCCTCTTCCTCCTCCTCCCCCTCCGCCCCGAAACTCATCAAAATCACCAAAACCAGGAACAACTGCACACTCAAGAAAATACTCGACGCGGGGATCCCAAATATGTGCATATCATAAGGATGGCACGCTCCCGTAGAAGGCAGTGTCCTTTTTCAATATCTGGATGTCAACGGATTCATGTGGAAGATGAAGCCGAGAGAGACGCCGACGATTACGACGACCTTAACTGGTTGTGTTCTCCTCGTTTCCTTTTCCTCCTCCTCCTCGTCCTCCTCCTCCTTCTCCTTCGTTTCCTCTGAACACATGTCAGGGCGCCGACAACTGTTCCGACAAAGGGAAGGATGTTGGGCACCGAAACAGGCAAACCGCCTGAGACATCCCCCCAATCTGGGCGCGAACGGGCCCCTGATATTCCCCCCTGGCGCCCTCTCTTGGGAGTGCTGAAGCCAGCGCCTCGCCTGAGACATCTTCGGGAACTGCTCCGACCGAGAAAATATGTCGGGCACCGAAACACGAAAACCGCCTGAGACATCCCCCCAATCTGGGCGCGAACGGGCCGTGATATCCCCTTGGGAATGCCGAAACCAACGCCTCGCCTGAGACATCCTCACACCGTGTGTGTGTGTGTGTGTGTGCGAGAGAGAGAGAGAGAGAGAAAGAGAGAGCCTGAACGCAAAAAACACCAGGAGTGTGAGTGGTTCTGCGTCGGAATGATCCCGAGCATGGGAAACCTGACTATTAGGAGCCTCGGAGCAATTGCGTCTGAGTATGAGTGAATGTGAATATGCGTGTGTTTACATGTTAATGAATCAAAGAATCATGACCTGAGGGCGGGAGGTGTGACTGTGAGGTGCTCCGCACGGTCTAAAAAATAGCAAACACCCCATCGCTCGGATACGGGGAGACAACAACCTGCGGACAAACAGCGCTATGACCTTCCTTTCTTCCCGCATCGAATGGAAAACAACAAACTGAAACAGCGAACGCGCCAGCCCACGCCGGCGGAGGCACACGTAGCCGTCCTTGCCCGCCTCGCGGCCCGAGTATTCCTCCGGGACCGCCAGGCCGTTCACCCCCCTACCGTCCGCTTTTTCTCCTCGTCACCCGCGCCCTCGCCCCGGTCGGCGCCCCCCCTGCGCCTGCTTCCCTCCTCCACCCCCCACTTTGTTAGGTCGGGCATGTCCCCCTACATGGGGATGTTTGACAAACAATAAATCAGAGGCAGCAGCGTGCAATGGGGATTCCCCGCTGCAATGTCCCGGCGGAGAACCGCGGGCCACGCCCAGAGGCCGCGAGGAGGACATCCACCTCCACGCCCATATCGTTCTTGACGTCCACCACCTCATGTCCCTCCGTCCTCCGCAACAAGAACTTGCTCGTGAACCTTTTTCAAGCAACGCCACCCTGGCATCCCCCTCCCCATCGTCCTCCTCCTCCTCCTCCTCCTCCTCCTCCTCCTCCTCCTCCTCCTCCTCCTCCTGGCCATCCTGGTCCTCTTCCTCCTCCTCCTCCTCCTCCTCCTCCTGTTTGTCCTCGTCTTCCTCTTCCTCCTCATCCTGCTGCTCCTCCTCCTTCCTCCTCCTCCCTTACATCCTCCTCGTCCAGATCCCCCTCCTCCTCCACCTGCGCCTGCACCAAATCATGGATAAGACGCGGCAGACTGCATGAATAAGACAGCGACGATGCACCTACTTCCGCGGGCAGCTTGCGCGCGGGTGAACGCGCAGTCGATCCCCGTGGCATCGCCCCCAAACTTCAAAGTAGGCGGTGCAACGGGCCGCTTCTGTCAAAGCCTCGTTTCCCCTTTCGGGGGCGGTTAACCCACCCACCCCGCTAGCAGACCGTGGAGGCCTTGGATGCGGAATCCAGGGTCTGGAGCCGTCTGGAGATCCACTTGCGTGGAACGGGGGGGGGGCAGAAATTGCCCGCCCCCGATCATTGTGAGCTCTCTACCCTCCCTCCGTCTCCCCTCCCTCCTCCCCCACATGCTCCTCCCTTCCGCCTCCCTCCTCCCTCCCCCCTCCCTCCCACCTCCTTCCCACCCTTCCTCCGCTTCAGATCTCCTGGAGGAGGACGGCATGTGAGCGGTGCGGTTGCGATTGCGCGCCCGCGGGCGGTATGAAATGTGTCGCCCAGTTGCGGTTGCGGTTTCGCGCCCGCGGGCGGGTTGAAATGTGTCGCCAGGTTGCGGTTGCGCGCCCGCGGGCGAGTCAAAATGTGTCGCCCAAGAGCGGTTGCGGTTGCGCGCCCGCGGGCGTGTTGAAATGTGTCGCCCAGTTGCGGTTGCTGTTGCGCGCCCGCGGACGGGTCGGAATGTGTCGCCCAGTTGCGGTTGCGCGCCCACGGGCTTGAAATGTGTCGCCCAGGTGCGGTTGCGGTTGCGCGCCCGTCGGCGTGTTGAAACGTGTCGCCCAGGTGCGGTTGCTGATGCGCGCCCGCGGGCGGGTCGAAATGTGGCGCCCACTTGCGGTTGCGGTTGCGCGCCCGCGGGCGGTTTGAAATGTGTCGCCCAGGTGCGGTTGCGGTTGCGCGCCCGCAGGCGGGTTGAAATGTGTCGCCCAGGTACGGTTGCGGTTGCGCGCCCGCGGGCGAGTCAAAATGTGTCGCCCAGTTGCGGTTGCGCGCCCGCGGGCGAGTCAAAATGTGTCGCCCAGTTGCGGTTGCGCGCCCGCGGGCGTGTTGAAATGTGTCGCCCAGTTGCGGTTGCTGTTGCGCGCCCGCGGACGGGTCGGAATGTGTCGCCCAGTTGCGGTTGCGCGCCCACGGGCGGTTTGAAATGTGTTGTTCAAGGTGCCTTCTTGACGTTCAGTCAGTCAATCAATCAGTCAGTCAATCACCGGCGGGCACGGAATTTCACCCGGCTCCGCCGGGAAATCAGTCAGTCAGTCAGCCACCGGCGGGCACGGAATTTCACCCCGCTCCGCCGGGAAATTGGTCAAACAAAAAATACTTCAAAAAATATTCAACAAATCGTCCCCTGACTATTTTACTATTTTGGAATATTCCTCCTGGAGAGGGACACGCCCGACTTAACACTTCTGCTCCCCTCGACTGCTCCCCTCTTCTGCCCATCTTCTCCTCTGCTGCTCCCCTCTGTTTGCTCACCTTCTGCACCCCCTCTCCTCCTCCCCTAGTCTCTTCCCTCGTCCCGCCCTGCTACCCCTCGTCTGCTCCTCTTCTTCCTCCTCCGCCTCCTCCTCCTCCTCCTCCTCCTTCTGCACCTCCCGCCCGCGGCTCCCGCCCGCGGCCCCCTCGTCCTCCCCCATGCTCGTCGGCGACGTCGACCTCTAGCCCGCCCCATCACCCATCCTGGTGCTCCTCTCCTTTCGCCTCGATCTCGTGTCGTGATCCGCCTTCCTCCTCAGTATCGCCCTTCGATGTTCGTGGTCATCGTCGTCGTCCTCCTCCTCATCCACTTTGCTTTCGCAACTTCCTCCCATGTCCTCCTCCTCATCCTCCTCCTCCTCTTCCTCAGCCTCTGTCTCCTCCTCCTCTCCCCCCACACTCGCTCTACCTCCTCCGCCTCCCCTCTGGTCATCCCTCCACATATCTTCTCGCACCCCCTGTCAGCTCCTCTCCGGCGGCCCACCCTCCCCCCCTCCTACCGCCTCCCTCCTGTTTCATCACTACTCCTCCCTCATTTAGCCTTCCTCCTCAATGTTTTTTTCTACTCCTCCTCCTACTCCTCTATTCCTTTCCCTGAATCCTGCATGTCGCACCCTGAAGCCAGTCGGAAGGGCGGGCAAGGCGTTTCGACCGAGACGTCCGCACCATTCATGAATTTGAAGCCTCAAGCTGACTACCATTTCACAGATTGAGTGCGGGCCGCTTCCGACATGCGGCTCTCACCCAAGCACCGCACAAACCAATCTTGAAATTTTGCAAAGGGTTTCACAGGTTGAGGGTGGGACGTTTTCAACATGCGGCCCTCGCCTTAGCGCCGCGCGCATTTGTCTCAAATTTCGCAAAAGTTTGAGGGATTGAAGGCTGCCGGTTTTTACAATTTCAAAGTTGGCTCTCGCCTTAGCGCCGCGGAAGCTCGTGTCAAACATCAGCAAGCAGCTCACGGATTGAAGGCAGGTCGTTTTCGCAATGTGGTTCTTGCCTTAGCGCTGCGCAAAGTCGCTATGAATTTTTCCAGAGGTTCGACGGAATGAAGGACGATATTTCCCAACCCTCCTGCGTTGGGTTCTCGTTTGGATTAGAGCACTGCTCGCGCGTCTCCTTCCTTCCCTTGTTCCTTCCTTCCTTCCTTCCCGTCCCTCTCTTCCCCCTGCCTTTTACCTCGCTCGTCGCTGCGTGCCAGCCTGCTTCCTACCTGGTCATCCCTGTGCCACTTTCGACGGTTGCTGGGGGCTGCGATCTGTGAAACTGTCGTCACTTTCGAGGGCTGCTGAGGGGCACAGCGCTGTGGGTACCCACCGCAGACTCAAATTAGACCTCGCCATCCCTGGGGGGCTGCGATATGTGAAACCGTCGCCAGTTTCGAGGGCTGCTGAAGGGACACAGCACAGTGGGTATTCACCGCAAACTCAAATTAGACCTCGCCATCCCTGATGGGCTGCGGTCTGTGGAACTGTCGCCACTTTCGAGGGCTGCTGAAGGGCACGGCACAATGGGTACCCACCGCAGACTCAAATTAGACCTCGCCATCCCTGGGGGGCTGCGATCTGCGAAAGTGTCGCCACTTTCGAGGGCTGCTGAAATGGGGCACAGCACAGTGGGTACCCACCGCAAACTCAAAGTAGACCTCGCCATGCCTGGGGGGGCTGCGATCTGTGAAACGGTCGCCACTTTGGAGAGCTGCTGAGGGGCACAGCACAGTGGGTACCCACCGCACACTCAAATTAGACCTCGCCATGCCTGGGGGGCTGCGAGCTGTGAAACCGTCGCCAGTTTCGAGGGCTGCTGAGGGGCACAGCACAGTGGGTACCCACCGCAGACTCGAATTAGACCTCGCCATCCCTGGGGGGCTGCGATCTGTGAAACTGTCGCCACTTTTTTGGGCTGTTGAGGGGCACAGCACAGTGGGCACCCACCGCAGACTCAAACTAGACCTCGCCGTCCCAGGGGGGCTGCGATCTGTGGAACTGTCGCCACTTTCGAGGGCTGCTGAGGGGCACAGCACAGTGGGTAGCCACCGCAAACTCAAATTAGACCTCGCCATCCCTGGGGGGCTGCGATCGGTGAAACCGTCGCCACTTTCGAGGGCTGCTGAGGGGCACAGCACAGTGGGTACCCAGCGCAGATTCCAATTAGACCTCGCCGTCCCTGGGGGGCTGCGATCTGTGAAATTGTCGCCACTTTCGAGGGCTGCTGGGGGGCACAGCACAGTGGGTACCCACCGCAAACTCAAATTAGGCCTCGCCATCCCCGGGGGGGTGCGATCTGTGAAGCTGTCGCCACTCTCGAGGGCTACTGAGGGGCACGGCGCAGTGGGTACCCACCGCAGATTCCAATTAGACCTCGCCATCCCTGGGGGGCTGCGATTTGTGAAACCGCCGCCACTTTCGAGGGCTGCTGCGGGGCACAGCGCAGTGGGTACCCACCGCAGCCTCAAATTAGACCTCGCCATCCCAGGGGGGCTGCGATCTGTGGAACTGTCGCCACTTTCGAAGGCTGCTGAGGGGCACAGCACAGTGGGTACCCACCGCAGACTCAAACTAGACCTCGCCATGCCTGGGGGGCTGCGATCGGTGAAACCGTCGCCACTTTCGAGGGCTGCTGAGGGGCACAGCACAATGGGTACCCACCGCAGACTCAAATTAGACCTCGCCATCCCTGGGGGGGTGCGATTTGTGAAACTGTCGCCACTTTCGAGGGCTGCTGAGGGGCACAGCACACTGGGTACCCACCGCAGACTCAATTTAGACGCCGCTTTCGTCCTTGTTCCTTTCCTGCAGTCACCTTCTATCTGCCGCTGCCGTGATGATGGTTCGGTTTCCCGCACGTTTTTCTCTTGCTCTGCGTTCCCGACTCCCCATGTCCTCTTCGCGCCTGTAGCTGTCGCCCCTCGTTCTTGTATGGTTATCCTGCGCATCATGCCGTAACCGCGTGTCCCAAATAGCTTACACATCAAGTATATTGTCCATGCAAGTTTCGGCCAACTCCTTGTTTCCATTGATACAAATGGGTTGGGTACGTCACAGGGTAATTTTCAAAATGTGGTTCGCGCCTCAGCGCCGTGCACACTCTTCAGAAATTGCAGAGAGCTTCGCGGAGACCCTTGGTTGACGTATCAGAGATGGTGTCTTGGAGTTGTTCAGAGGATTCTGAGGGCGCAACAATTACGTTGTTTCGCGGTGTTGACGTCCTAGGAACTGTGTTCTGGCACGGCCCGGGATCGTCAACAAGCAACACATAAGATGACTCGAGGCGTTGAACATCCGAGAGCGGTCTTTTGGCCCGCTTCAGGGTCATCCATCGGTTGTCTCCCAACGAGCCCCTTCCCTGAGAGGAAATGAACCCCTGTAGAGGCCTACGGAGAGGGAGTTGTCATGGAGGGTTTGTTCCAACATAGTGCATGAGTCTTGGTTGTACGTTGTTTCTCCTCCTCCTCCTGCTGCTCCTCCTCCTCCTCACATCCTCTGGTCCGACGCGGCATTCAGCCCCCCTCGTGGACCTCCTCCCATAATAGAAGGGAAGTTGAATAATCATAGACATTTGGCGTTCCGCGTGGAATTCTTGGATCAGCGCTGTATCCCGCTCCATGCATGGCGCGCGGCGCGCGCCAGGGCCGGCGCCGGAGGCGCCGCCAGAGGCCCCCAGCGCGGACCCAAGAAATCCGCGCGGAGCGCCAAGAGTTTACGTTTATGCAGATTCTTATTATCGAGAGAGCGTGATCCACCGCCGCTTTACTGTGGAAAATTGCCAACCTTTTCCTCCGGAGCCCGGGGGTCTCCCCCCCCCCCCCGAAAATCCCCCCCCTTCCCCCCCCCCCCCACCCCCCTCCCTCCGGCAAACCCCCCCCCCCCCCCCCCCCCTCCCCTCGAAAACCGGGGGGGTACAACCCCTCCCCCCCCCCCTCCCCCTCCGGAAAACCGGGGGGGGTCACTACCGGTTGGAACCCCCCCCCCCCCCCCTTCGAAAACCGGAGGGGGTCACTACCGGTTCGACCCCCCCCCCACGCACCGCCAGCAAACGACTCCCGGTCCCTACCACCGCTCGCATCACATCCCCCACTGTTGTTCCCAGCACCACTGTCCTCACCACCACTGTCCCCACTGGTTCCACCACCGTCCCTATTGTCCCCACCAATGCCCCCACCACTGTCGCACTGTCCCCACTGTTCCCACAACTGTTCCCACCACGGTTCCACTCTCCCCACTGTCTCCACGGACCCAACCACTGCCTATCCCCATGTCCCCACTGTCCCACTGACTCCTCCGCTGTCCCACTGAGCTGTCCCACTGTTTCCCACCACTGTCCCCACTGTCCCCACTGTCCCCACTGTACCTCTGTCCCATTGTCCCACCGCCGTCCTCGCCACCGCCTTTACCAGTGTCCCCACCACCATTGTACCCTCCACTGTCCCAGTGTTTCCACCTCATTCCCACTGTCCCCACACCACTGTCCCCACCACCACCGTTCCCACCACTGTCCACTGTCCCCCCTGTTCCCACCATTGTCCCCACCACTGTCCCCACCACTACCGTCCCCACCACTGTCCCACTGTCCCCCCGCTGTCCCCACCACTGTCCCGCTGTCCCCTCACCACTGTCCCCACCAACACCGTCCCCACCACTGTCCGCACCCCCACTCGGTTTTCGAGGGGGGGGGGGGGGTTCGAACCGGTAGTGACCCCCCCCCCTTTTCATGATGAGCTGGGGGGGGGGGGGAGGGGTTCGAACCGGTAGTGACCCCCCCCGGTTTTCCGGAGGGGGGGGGGGGGGGGAGGGGTTCGAACCGGTAGTGACCCCCCCCTGGTTTTCCGCCAGCAGCGGTAGAACACGCTCTTTCTTATTATCCGATCCTCCCTCCTCGCCTCCCTCCCTCCTCCCCCTCCTCTCGCCTCTCCTCCAGATGACATCGTGGCTTCTGGCGGAGGGGCAGCGCATTCGGGGGAGACCAGCTTCGGCAAGGAAGCATCGACCTGGAATCGGCGCGATTCGGCGGTGGGCAGACCTCCCTTTAGTAAGCATCCCTTTCGTGAAAATGGCCTAAGACCGAAACCGACGGACCTGGACCCGCAAGAATGACGGCCAGGACGCCCTCTCACGAACCGAGCACGGCCAATTCGCTCATCGACGTGTCAGGGTAGGAGGTCTGTCGGCCTCCGAGCGATGCCTCGCCGACAAAATATCATGCGACAGGCCCCCGACGGCGAGCCTGGGGCCAGGGTGGGGGGGGCCGCCGTCGGGCCCCCCTCGGCGAGCAGTAGGCGACTGGGGGCCGATGCTCCCCACCCTCTTCCTCCTCCTACTCCTCCTCCTCTTCCTCCTCCTCCTCCTCCTCATCCCTCCTCCTCCTCCTCCTCCTCCTCCTCCTCCTCCCTCCTCCTCCTCCTCCTCCTACTTCTCCCAACCCGGCGGCGTACGCTGTCTAAGACTAGAGGCCTCCCAGATTGGGTCCGAGTAGATGTGGCCGAAGGATCGCGACGCATCGCCGACGCATCGCCGATGCATCAACGATGTATCCGCGGTACATCGGCGATGACCTGGCGACGCACCGTCGACGTCGGCGATGCATCCGCGAGGTCGACGTGATGCAAATCGGGTTTCACATCGAGCCGCATCGAAGATGCATCGGCGATGCGGCGAGATTCTCCGACCAGATCTACTCCGACCTCATCTAGGCCTAGAGCCTACCACTCCCTCATTTGGCGGCGCACGCCTTCTAAGAAGAAGGGGTGCTCCTAAGAAGCCCTCCCCCATCCCCCATCCCCTCTGCGCGTGGCTGAAAAACCCATGCCTCACCCCCCGTCGGGCGTTGGCAGAACTGTTTTTAGTGGGACCTGGTTTAGTGATGTATACTGGGGGACGCCCCCCCCGCCCCGCTCCACTGACCGGAACTGCCGTCGCCCGAAAAAAACACCAGCTGCGGCAGACCTGGTTTTTCATGATTCTGGCCAAGTTAGGGGCTCCGGGGCCCTACCACTAACCGGGTCCCCTTACCTCGGGTCCTGGCTATGCCCGATCATGGCTCGGCCCGTCTGGGCGATCCGGGCACCCCTGGAACGCTCTCGGCGAAGCGCAAAGCTGCTGCTGGGAAGCACTGCGGCCTCGAAAAATAGCAGAGAGCATACGAGTAGGTCGGGCATGTCCTCCTACAGGGGGATTTTGGATGAAATGTCAAAAATCGCCCAAAATAGTCAGACATAATATGAACAAATGGTCCCTGTACTGTTTCGGGCAATATTTTTGAATAGTCCTCCTGCTGCTGGGAAGCACTCCGGCTTCGAAACACCGCCAGGAGCCCACGACATTCACAACATGCTGCTGGTGCCCCGTGCGTTGGCGGGGGTCCGCAGGCATCGGCGGTGGACAAACCTCCCTGTAGTAAAACTCCAAAGCGGCCTGGGACCGAAACCGACAGACCTGGACTCGCAAAAATGACGGCCGCGACCCTCTCGCGAACCGAAAACGGCCAATTCCTTAATCGACGTGTCAGGGTAGGAGGTCTGTCCACCCCCGAAAGGCAAGCGGTCCTGCCTGGCTATACCCGACCCTGGGTGTCCTTCCACGTCCGCCGCTGCCGCTCGGGCGGGCGGCCCGCCATGGCCCCGAGGCAGCCGCGCGCGCGCATGGCCCAGGCGGCGGCCCTGCACCGAGGGCACCGCGCGGGATCGCCGGCGGCGGTGGCTCCGTCGGTGCGTTCGGTGGGTCGGTCGTCGGTCGCCCGTCGCACGGGCCCCCGAGATCCTGGCGTTGGGCGTGGCTTCATGGGGGGGTCATAGATGGGGGGGGTCAGACACGGTCCCCTGTCTGCCCCTTTCGGGCCCCTACAGGGCCCCAGGGGGCTCGTTTAGCTACCGTTTGGGTACCTTTTCGGACCACCCTCGCCACCCCCCCCATTTATGATCGCGGGCTCAGGGCCCACGGGCCCCCCCCCAAAGATGGGATGGGTCCTAGGGTTCTCGGCCCCCTCCCCGACCAGATGGGATGGGGGGGGGAGGAGGAGGAGGAGGAGGAGGAGGAGGAGGAGGAGGAGGAGGAGGAGGAGGAGGAGGAGATGGAGGAGGAGGAGGACGAGGAGGAGGAGGAGGACGAGGAGGAGGAGGAGGAGGAAACCGACGACGACGACGACGACGACGACGACGACGACGACGACGACGACGACGACGGCACCACCAGCGGCGGCGGCGACGAAGTCGAGCACCAGAGCTGTTAACATGACGCCAATCCCAGCCACACGCCGCACCCACACCGCACCCACTGGGGGGGAGAGAGGGGGGGAGGATGACCATGGCGTCACCCCGCACACACCAACAGCAACACACCACACCCACTCCACATCCACAGGGGGGGGAGCCACCACGCCACGCCCACGCCCACAGGGGGGGGGCATCGCGCGGGTGGGGCCCGATGGCATTAGCATTGGGGGGGGGGGGGGCCAAGCCCTCGACCATTAATGACCCCCCCATTACGCGACGCCTAATGGCGTCTCAATTCTGTCGAGCCGGGCGTCCTTGCCTCTTGTTGTCGGGCCCCAAGGGCCTTCACGGACCGATGCGGCTCGAGAAGTGATGCCGAGAGATGGTGTCTGGGGTTCCAGGCGTGAGCTGTTTCGACGTTGCTTTTTGGGGAGGCTACGTTGGCTCTCAGGGTTGTCGGTCCGTCGTCGTGCGTTCTCGTCGCCGCGTTCGCCATGGATCGGCGGGGAGCAAGAAGAAGCAGGCCTTCTCAGAAGGCTCGAAGGTCTCCCGGCCTTCTGAGTGAAGTTCTCTGAGCCTCCCCTGAAAAGACGCCGAAAGCTTCTCAGAAGGCCGGAGGGCCTCTGCTCGAGAAGCCCCGCCGACTTCTGAGAAGGCCGTCTCATTCTCGCTTCCACCCCTCGCTCGCCGCGCCGCCGTCTTCTTCATCGCCGTCGCCGTCGTCGACGTTGGTCTTCGCCGTCGTCGCTCTCGTGGCGGGCCGTGGGCCGTCGTTGTCGTCGCTGCCTTGTCATCTTCCTCGTCCTCCCCATCCTCGTCCTAGTATGCCTTGCCCTCCTCTCCTCCTCCTCCTCCTCCTCCTCCTCCTCCTCCTCCTCCTCCTCCTCCTTCTCCTCCTCCCCCTTCGCTTCCTGGGAGGGGGGAGAATAGCGATCATCCATCCTCGTGCTCTCGCGCCGGCCCCTGGATAGGGGCGACCCATCGGGCCAGACGGCGGGGCGCGAAGGGCCGTTCTGCCCGCGCCCCTCGCGGGTGGCCTCTGGATCTCGCGATGCGTCCAGGGAGGAGGAGGAGCACGGGAAGGAGGGGGCAAGAGAGGCACAGGAGAGCCACGGGGACCAGGAGGAGGATCGGGGGAGGGAGGAGAGCGGGAGAGGAGGAGGCTGGGCGGAGGTGAAGAGAAGTGGAGCAGGGGGTGAACAGGAGGGGGGAAACAGGAGAGGAAGAGTAGGTAAATCCGCTGACCTTGTCGGCGTGTGTGGGAAGCATCTCCGTTTGAGTCGTCCTCCTCGTCGTCGTCGTCATTGTCGACGTCACCGCTCCCCCTGTCCCTGTCCGTGGGTCCTCCTCGTCAACCGTCCAAGCGAAAGAAAATTCCAGCAAGGTCATATAGATTCGAAAGGAAGCCCATTCTCTTCGATCTCTTCCCCGCTGGTGGGGGTCTCTGGGAGAAACTTTCCGCTTCGATTCCTTGCCTCCCACACGCCTCGGGCTCCCCCTTGAGGGTCGGCGGCACCGGCCGCAATGCCTTCACAATAGGGATTGCTAGAAAGATCGGGAAAACGCTGCATTTGAGGCCTCAATTGAACAGAAACCGATTGTCCCGGCATTCCTACAGGCCTGCCACTGCATTCATTCATTAGAATTGAAGAATTTTAAAAGCAACGCGATGAATACATAACATAACGCCAACGTGTGCAACAGAGACGTTATCGACCAGCTATGTTCTAAGACATGTCCTGCACACCGTACAATTTTCTTACACCTTTCTTTGGTGGGCCGATCAGGAAGCCAGGACGCCTCGTTACTCATTGGCAACGGGGAGGCGATTCCTCCAAGCCTAGGACCAGGTGCACTATCTGTTTATAGGGGTGGGTACTTGAACGCGTCGTGTCTGCGGAAATACGATCGGCGGGATGACGACTGAGGACGACGAATAAGAGTGAGGGGGAGGAGCAGGAGGCATAAGGATGGTGACTGGGGGAATGGAAGAAAGATGCAGAAACATGGAGGTTTGGGGACAGGATAAAGAGAAGGGGTGGGGGGGGAAGCGGAACGCGGAAAAAGTAGGGAGGGAAGGCAGCGGGGTGGAAGACCAGCACGAGGATGGATAGAGAAAGGGGGTGGAGGTGCAGGTGGAGAGAGGAGAACGACGGATCACGACAGAGTGACCAAAAAGTAAGGACGACGGGTCATCCACAACACTCAGCGCTGCTAACCTGGCCGCCATCGGGACTGTCAGCAGCTGCCACGCATGGTAATTATTTGGCTGGCGAGGGGACGCTTGGGCAAGCGCAGGAAAAGAGGCAGGCACACACGAAGGGGCAGAAGAGCACGACACAGCAGAGTGCCGGGCCTGGTTTCCACCACCATTACCATACGCTGGACGGGGGGGAGAGGAGGAGGACGAGGAGGAGGAGGAGGATGAGGTGGGGGAGGAGGACGAATAACCCCTCCCCCTCCAACTTATGGTGGTGGTGGAAAACAGGCCCATCGAAGAGGACAATCTTCGCCCAGGATCGAGATACTCCGCCCGTCGGGCCTCCGAGGCGGCACAGCGGGTGCCAGAAACCTCGGGCCGGAGACTGTGCCGCACCGCCCTCGCGGTGCTGCAAGGCTGCCGCCCCCTGCAGAGCCGCTCGAATTCAAGGGGCCCAAGGACACACAAACAAATACACACAAATCCCAGGACTCCCCATCGATATTTTTCCATCTGTTCTGGATGTTCGTCTTCCCCCCCCACTTCCCATGTTTTCCCATCGTTTCCTGGGAGGCGACGCTTCATCTTGTCTGTGTGTTTTTCCCCTCCTGACTAATTCAGGCCGGTCGCGGGAAGTGGACTCACTCCAGTGAGGGATAACGACAGGAGGGGGCGGCTCGCAGGGGTGGCTTGGACGCACCGACCTGGAGTCGGCGACACGTGACCGATAGGTTGCACTCTCCTGGGCGGGGTGGGCCATCGGGCCCCCAGACGGGGATGAAGGGGCAACTGGTCGTCGATGCATTCGCCCCTGGTCTTCAGCTCTGCCCTCCAGCGGCCCGTCGGGGCGACACGGACACCCCCAGAACGCCTTTGGCTAGGCGCGGCCGCTGAGGGCATCCACACCCATCGGTCGGAAGAAGTAGGTAGAAACAGGAGGCAGAAAAGCGTTGATAATTTCTCCGTCCGCCCCCTTTGGAGGACGGAAAAGGAGAGGCCACTCGGTCATTGAAGAAGGAAGGCGCTTAAAGTAACTTTCGGCGGTGGACAAACCTCCCTTTAGTAAACCACCCTTTAATGAAAACGGCCTAGGACCGAAACCGACGGACCTGGACCCGCAACAATGACGGCCGCGACGCCCTCTCGCGAACCGAAAAGGGCAAAGTCATGAATCGGCGTGTCAGGGTAGGAGGTGTATCCACCTCCAGAGATTGGAATCTGGGACTCAAGAAGTACCTACGCTCAACGACCGATGGGTATGATGGATGACCAACTGACCTACGAAGACGGCGGGGGAGGAGGAGGAGGAGGAGGAGGAGGAGGAGGAGGAGGAGGAGACTGGTGGTCGAAGACTTCCCCCCTGAGCCTGCCTGCCCCCGTCGCTGCCCCTGGTCCAGTCGGAGTCAAGAAGTACAGCACACGGCCGAGGATCGGAGGCTCATGCTGAGGACCTTCCTGGAGACGCTCGCGCCGCTCATGCGCCGAAGCTGCGTCGAACGTCCGCCGATTTGAGTCGAGTCCGAGCCGAACTCGGGTCAGGCCTGAGTCGAAGCCGCGCCGAACCTGGCTCGAACTGGAGTCGAGCTGGAGTCGAACTGCAGTGGAGCAGCTGCACCAGGCGGGCCCCAGGAGGGACCCCAAGACGAGCCTCGAACGAAGACTACCCGGCGGGAGAAACAGCAAAAAGTTGTGGCGCGTGCCGGTGCGCGGGCGGGGGGGAAGGGTGTGCCTCGAGCTCCGAGGAGCCCCGAGAAACGCCGGCCAGTGGCCACCTCGGCCCTGGCGCTTCCGCCAAGCCTCCCGTCGGCACCCTTCTCGGGCTGGGCGGAAGAGGGGGATAGCAATTGGCGGCGCGCAGAGGGGGGTATAGGGGGAGGGGGGAAGGCTTCTTAGAAGGAGGCTGCTTCTTAGAGGGCGCCAGCCTTACATTTTAGACAAGGCCCGCGCCTCCTAAGAAGCAGGGGTGCTTCTAAGAAGCCCTGCCCCCTCCCCATCCCCCCCTGTGCGCGCTGATTTTCCCGGCGCCTCCCGGCGCCGGAGGCGGCCATGCATCGAGGAATGGGGCCCTCGGTGGGGCCGAAACCAGCTGAAGGCAGCAAATTGCGTAAAACCCCCCCCCTTTCCCAATCCCCCCCTTTCGTCCGGCCCGAACCCTTCTCTGAGGCAAATCCCGGAGGCCTCGCGCGGCAACTCGCGGCCTAATCGGCGTCGGACCTGCGTCGGGTCCACGTCGCAGTGCGTCGGGGTTGTGCAGGAGTGGCGTCGAGGATGCGTCGGGACATCGCCGTGCGAGCGTCGTTCCAGGTCTGACGGGACGGACGTCTGGACCAGACGATAGAACTCTTGCGCGCCGCACGAGGCCTCCAAGATGCCCTCATGCCTGGCATCCCTTCTCGGCCGAACTCCTCCGACCCATCACGTCATTTCTTCCCCGGCGGAATGCGAGCACAACAAGGGCTCCCAACTTCGCGTTTCGCGCTGCGCGAAGCGCGAATAACTTCGCGCTCTCGCGCCGCCTTCCAGGGGAGAAAAGGAGGATAAGGAGGAATCGGAGCCGAACCGCGAGGCGCGAAGCGCGAATAACTTCGCGCCCTCGAGGGAGCCCTAGTCACAAAGACAATGGAGGAGGAGGAGGATAATGAACGAGGCAGGATTGAGACGAGGAGGACCGGGCAGATGACGAGAGGGAGGAGTATGAGGGGTGAGCACGAGGAACAAAAATGGAGAGGTCGAGAGGAGCCGACAAGGTGCAAAAGCTGGAATGGACGGGGCGCCGCCAGGGGGCCCAGCGCAGACCCCAGACATCCTCTAGGAGCTCCGAAAGTTCATGCTTACGAGATTGTTGCTCGTATTCGACCTCTCCCTTCTCTTCTTGGGGAGACGTAAGACTCGGGTTCGGGGGACGCGGGTTGGCCTGACGGGGCCCTCACGAAAATGACGAGACCCAATCTGCAGTGGACGCGCACTCCCGCTGCCACTTTCCCACGGCCACGGGACCGTCGAACAACCAGCACGCGCTCGTGGAAACGCGGCGAGAAACTCGAAATCCGGCGCACCCAGAGATCCGACGCTGCAGACGACTGCAACACCGACAAAAAAACGATAGCCAAAGCCCCCCGCACCCCCTCGTTCCGCGCCACTCTTCGAGCCGGTGGGTCGATCCGTGGGGGCCCCGGGGGCCCGACAGGGAGGGAAAAAACGCCCGTGGCGAGAAGAGCACGCTGCAACGCCCGGGTCTCGGGGCACTCGAGTCGCACTGCGCTGCCCCGATCCCCCCCTCTTTTGGGGCTCCATAGACTTCCAGATCGGAGGTCCCACGGCCGTCGTGACCCCTGGGTGCTGCTCCCCTCCCTCTCTGGCCTCGTGTGGCGTTCCTCGGTGCGGAGCGTGCGCCTCCTCCTCCTCCCGATCCCTGCCCATCCCAAGGCGCCTCGTCTGCAGCACCAGTGGGAGGCAATGCCTGGCATGTGGAGGTGCAGAGTCTGTCTGCGAGGCTCTCTGGCAAGCCCTATCGTCTGGCTCTGCGTCGATCCGATGGGAAATCTATGGGTTTTCCTCGTCGCGTGCCTCCTCCTCCTCCTCCTCCTCACCGCCCCCCCCCGTCCTCCAACGGCGCCTGAGCAAGGGCGGTTCCCGCCCCGGCCTCCCCCCACCCCCCGCACCAAGTAAGCACGCCGCGCACCGCCATTCAGGCCTGCTACGGCACCGACCAGTCGCCTGCCCCATCCAGCGGCCGGTCTTGACGGGGGGAGAGAGGCGGGAAGGATCTTGGTGGGGGGCCCTGGAATCTGGGTGGCCCACAAGGGGTCCAGCTGAAAGGGGGCGGCGCAATAGGTTTGGGGCAATTGTGTTGCAAATGCACTGCGCCAGAGAAGTGTATCGCATTGCCTTGCAAGTGATGGATTGCACGCGAAGATCCAGCAATGCATTTAGGCCCTGAAATGTATTGCACGCCCCAAATGAATTGCAACCCCACAAATCTATTGCATCAAATCTATTGCACCACCCCCTTCTGGCTGGACCCCCTCTTGGGTCAACCCGATGGAAGCGAAAAGGCCGCCTTTGTGAATCCAAAAGCCAGGCCAGGGTGGCAATGTGTCTTTTGGCTCCCTCTTCTGTGGGAGAAGGGCCCCCTTCCAACTGTCAGTGCAGTTGTTTTCGCTCGGACCGCGCGGCGGTCGAAACTGCGGTGCAGTCCCAGGGCCCTAGGACTAGGGCCAAAACAGCGGCGGGCAGCGTGCATGCCACAAACATGAATATAAGAAGTGCTGGGCATGGCCCTGCAGGATATGATGACTCATGCATACACATCATGCGCACACGGTGGCACGGGCGGCAGAGGGGCAGGGGAGTGCACTCTTCACACTGGGTGAGTACAGTGCTGCCCCGATGCCGCTCCCTACGAACGGGAAGCGCTGCACGCAGTTATCGTGTATGTCGGCCCACAGACCGATACACCTCAAGCAAAGTGCGGCCTGAGGCCCAAAATATAAATCCGCCGACCCTGTCGGCGTGTGTGAGGGGTTTTTCCGTTCGAGCCGTCATCTCCGTCATTCTTTGTACTCGTCGTCTCTGTCCTTCCCTTTCCCTGGGAGACCTCTTCCCCTGGGCTCCAGCCAAGCCGACCTTGAGCAACCTCGTAATTGAGTCGAAGGGAAGCCCCTTCCCTTTGATCCCTCCCCCGCCGGGAGGGGGGGGGGGGTAGCGACCCCCCCCCCGGGTCAGATACGACGCCCCCCCCTGGGACTCCTCTTCCCCTGGGCTCCAGCCAAGCCGACCTTGAGCAACCCCTGGGCTCCAGCCAAGCCGACCTTGAGCAACCTCGTAATTGAGTCGAAGGGAAGCCCCTTCCCTTTGATCCCTCCCCCGCCGGGAGGGGGGGGGGGGTGTCGACCCCCCCCCGGGTCAGATACGACGCCCCCCCCTGGGACTCCTCTTCCCCTGGGCTCCAGCCAAGCCGACCTTGAGCAACCTCGTAATTGAGTCGAAGGGAAGCCCCTTCCCTTTGATCCCTCCCCCGCGGGAGGGGGGGGGGTCGACCCCCCCCCCGGGTCAGATACGACGCCCCCCCCTGGGACTCCTCTTCCCCTGGGCTCCAGCCAAGCCGACCTTGAGCAACCTCGTAACGAGTCTGCCGGGCTCCAGCCAAGCCGACCTTGAGCAACCTCGTAATTGAGTCGAAGGGAAGCCCCTTCCCTTTGATCCCTCCCCCGCCGGGAGGGGGGGGGGGGGTTCGACCCCCCCCCCGGGTCAGATACGACGCCCCCCCCTGGGACTCCTCTTCCCCTGGGCTCCAGCCAAGCCGACCTTGAGCAACCTCGTAATTGAGTCGAAGGGAAGCCCCTTCCCTTTGATCCCTCCCCCGCCGGGAGGGGGGGGGGGGTGTCGACCCCCCCCCCGGGTCAGATACGACGCCCCCCCCTGGGACTCCTCTTCCCCTGGGCTCCAGCCAAGCCGACCTTGAGCAACCTCGTAATTGAGTCGAAGGGAAGCCCCTTCCCTTTGATCCCTCCCCCGCCGGGAGGGGGGGGGGGGTAGCGACCCCCCCCCCGGGTCAGATACGACGCCCCCCCCTGGGACTCCTCTTCCCCTGGGCTCCAGCCAAGCCGACCTTGAGCAACCTCGTAATTGAGTCGAAGGGAAGCCCCTTCCCTTTGATCCCTCCCCCGCCGGGAGGGGGGGGGGGTAGCGACCCCCCCCCCGGGTCAGATACGACGCCCCCCCCTGGGACTCCTCTTCCCCTGGGCTCCAGCCAAGCCGACCTTGAGCAACCTCGTAATCTCTTGCTGCGCATTGCGAACAGGGTCGGCGGCACCGGCCGTCAGGCCTTCGCAATATAAAATATGAATGTCTAGATTCACTAATCCAGACTGTCAACTCAAAGGATGTGCATACATCACCGTAGCCCTCACTAGGTCCATCAGCGGCTGCAATCAGGACCTCACGGGCTCGCAGGCCCTGGAACGGCGACCCGTCGCTGGGCCTTCCGCTCCTTAGCTCTCTCACGCTGTCCGCGGCGCAGCCGCAGACGGTGTGCCTCCTCATCCTCTTGCTCAGCAGTAGGCGCCATGCTGAACAGTCCGTGGCGGAAGAACTGCGATAGCACCCCGTTAGGCTGCACGGCCTTTGTCAGCACGTCCGCTAGCATGTGGCTATTGGGCAGCCACTTGAACTTGATGGCCTCCTGCTCTATCAAATCCTTGGCCACCAACAAGTCAATGAGGGTCTGCCGAGACACCGGCATCGAGCCGATCTTGGACGTGTGGTCGTAGAGCGACTTCGCGTCCGTCACCAGCGCCCCCGGAACCTTCAGCGCCAGCCTCCAGTCCCCTTGCAAGGGCGGCTCCCCGTGCAAGATTGCCTCAATCAGCAGCCTGAGGTAAAGCTGCCGATCCAAAGCCACGGACATAGCCGCAGACTCTGCGGCCATCGTAGATCCAACAACTCGTGTAATGGTACTGCTCTGGAACTCCACTAGACAACATGCAGCTAGCTCCTTCAACACTCGGGCATCCGTAATCATACTCATGAACCCCATCTGGCTCTTACAGCCGGGTTCCTTCGCAAACGAAGCGTCCATAAGCGCGAGCACCTGCAATCGCTCGATGTCCACACGGCGGATCCGGAGAGTCGAAAGACCTCTCTTGTCGTAGTCCTGAAGCCGATCGATGATGTCATTGAGCACTCGCAGGTGCAGTAACCTCCGACCCTTCGGATCCTTCTGTGCGAGCGCCGACACACTGTACGCGAGCTGTGGTACCACGCGTGCGACAGGCCATCGCACCTTCTGGAGCGAGCTCCGGTAGTCGCGGTGCTCTTCGGGAGTCATCTCCCGCTCCTCGTCGTCACCCCTTGGAAGGGGGTGCTTTGTCAGCTTGCCGATGTATTCGTGCATGCTGATCTCGATGTGATCGGGGTGGCGCCACCACTCCTCACCGAGATAGGCGACTGCCTCCTTGTCGTTGCCCTCCTTCTTGTGCTTGATGTTGAAACGCCTGTTGATATTCGCCTTCACCTCCTGGTACTGGGGGTCATGCGGGTCTCCAAACAGCCTGCCGTCGTCGACGTGCAAGGTCAACATAGCAATCAACTTATCGTTCGCCCGATAAACGAAGACGGCTCGGGCACAGCGCAGCTCCACGAAGCCGACCTCGTCCGTCAGCACCTGGCGGGCTCGGAAATACCACAACCGAGGCGCCTCCGTCAAACCGCACGCCCCTTTCAGCAAACGAAGCAACGCATAAGGTCGCACGGCTGGCCATCCAGCACCGTCGACGGCTGGAAGCCCGTCCTTAGGAGCCCTCACATACAGCTCCCGCTCCAGCTTCAGCCCGGACAGGAACGCAGTCGCTACGTCGAAGCACTCGAATGTCCAATCCATCGCCATTGTGATAGACGCACACACCAGCACAGCCAAAGGGGAAGTAGTAGGCGAATCCGTCCTGAATAGACCAAGCTGCGGGTCGAGATGGCCAGGGATGATCAAGCGCGACTTCGCCTCAAACTCCAGCCCTCGCCCCCGGTTCGTGCGAACCGAACGCATGGGCACCGAGATGATCTTGTCCTTTGGGATGCTCTTCTCCTCCTCCTCGGTGACCAGCTCGACCGTGTTGTTGGCGATCCATTGCCGCCACTCGGCGGCATCGGCCTCGTCGAACTTAGCCTTCTCGTGCTGGTTGAAGTGACGTGGGTCTAGCTTCTAGCTCCTTCGCGTTCTGCTTCATCACGAGTGCGAACACGTCGTGCTCGTACCGGGCCTCCTGCAGCCATGCGTCATACACAGATGACACGTTGATCCATTCCTCGTAAATCATCGGCTGCCGCACAAGACCCTCCGGAGTGTCCAAATAGTACACCCCTTGTGCCTGAGCGTCCGGCTTGTCGTGGTAGAAAAGCGTGAGACCAACCCAGCTGTCCTCCGTGCGCTCGCTGGCACGGCTCGCGCCGTCGTCCTTGTAGGCACACTGGCCCGTGGCGGAGAGCATCACCGACAGGCGATTGCACTCCCGGTGGCGGTCGTGATCATAGAGTCTCCGCCGTGGCTCTCGATGTACACGTACTCCTCGTACGACCTTCTGAACGAGCGTGGAGACACCATCCAAGGCATTCTGGTCGAACCACTCCTGGGGTCACGAGTGCACAACAGCGTTCATGGCCACCTCGCGGAGGGCCGGCAAGCCACTCGTAGGGGCAGCCTGCAGACGCGTCTTCTTAATGCAACTCGGCACGTCATCTACCAGGAACTTCCGCTTCCGCTCGAGCTCGAAGTCGTCTCTGGGAATCGGCGGCACCGAAGGGCCGCCAGAGCCCGATGCTCCCGGAGAAGCTTCCGGGTACGTCTCAGAGGACATCCGGCCTGGAGGGGAACGAGACCGCGCCCTCCTCGGAGGCGGAAGCTGCGGCAGCTGCTCCTGCTCAGGTAGCTCCTCCTCCTTAGCCTGTGCCTCAATGGCGCCCAGGGCCCTCAGGTCCACACGAGGCTGCCTGGACCCCTCGAGCTCCCTATGTCGGTCACGCTCCTTCTTCAGGAATGTCTTCTTCACCTTCTGAACCTTCACCTTGGGCGTGACGTCCACGATGTCGTGGTAGGCGCGATCATCTCGCTGCTGTGTCAGCCGCACGTCCGTCTGGATGAACTCCGCAGCTGCGGCCTCCTGGGAGGAGGCGTGCTGGAGCTGATCCCGAGCAACAAGTAGCACGTGACCACGCCATGATAC